CTTTTAAGTTATACATAAAAGAGTAATTACAAAATTGATTATTTTTATTTTTCATTTTGGCATAATCACCTGAAGTTGATTGTTGGCCAAAACAAACACACAAGTTGGTTTTGGCTATGGTTATGGCACTATGACCATGTAATTTTAATTGATATTTTATCAATTTAATTATTCAGAACAATTAATAGTCAATTACTACTATTTAATAAATTGAAATCATTTCATAAGCAAGTATTTGTAAAGATTATAACTAACTATTTAAATTTTATAAATTTAAAAAATATCGATCAAAAGTAAGTGACCTTAGATCAAGTAAATTCTACTAGTATATTATATTTTGTTATCTAATGAAAATCCTTTTCATTGTTTTTGATATAATTTCATATAATAGGAGCGGATTGTTAAATTGGGAAGGGTGACAATTTAATATTGCAAGGATAATGGGATAGATAATGTAAGTGGTGTCAGGAGAAGGATTGTATATGGGTTTGAGTACCTTTTGTACCTATGGTAATAAAATTTTTGGCTTATAAAAAAAAATAATAAATAAATCACACAATAGTATCATGAATATGCACTATAAATCTGCAGCTAGGGTTTTCAAAGCTTTTCTTCCCCTTGTGAGAGTTTGTTTCTCGTAGTAATATTATTGTCGGTGATTATTTCACTTCCTTTACATGTGTGGCTTGTTGATGAGGCAGTTTTGGAGGGTTTCTCCTCTTCCTTTCTGATTTCTCATCACTTTAGACAGATGTTGTGATTGTTGGCTTGTGATGTTGGGGTCAGACAACAATAGCTAACATTGAATTATAGATTTACAGGTTATGGTGATTAGAAGTGATTCAGAAGTGGTGTAGCGTGTTGATGATGCTGCGGCCATGATGAGGGGTTGCAGCCTTGAGGGAATGGGAATGTTGATGGGAAATGCCAAGGTTGTTTTGTTTTTGATCATTGAAATGATGGTGGCGGGGGAATGGGGGCAGATGGCACCAAGGTTTCACTAGGAGAAAGACAGCAGCTTAGGGTAACCTTATTTGATCCAATTTAGTGTTCGATTGTAAAAGGGATTTCTTTTAAAGATCTTTAGGAAAAAAAAAAAAAAAGACAAAGATTGTGGAGTTTGAATGTAATTTGGATACTTACTAAAATTGAATTTGTTGGTTTGGGAAGTTGGGGAATAAAAGTAGGAGGTAGTCTTTGTGTAGCCTTACCCCAACAATCAATATAGTTTAAATGGTAGGTTTTGGGCTTATAATATCTTATATTGTTTTTGGGCTTGCGCGAATTATTAGTAATAAGTAGTCCGCCTTGGGCTTGGTAGGATTTGGAGGCAATCATACTAGGTAGGTTAAATGTCAATTTTATTCCTTTAATTTTAGAGTTTTGTAGAGTTTTTATCTTTTAGTTTTTTATATATTTTTTTACATTTTTAATTATGAAAAATGTATTTTGCAATCTTTCCATCAGTTAATTCTTTAAATTTATCTAAATATATATTTTTAATTCTTCAACTTATAATATATACATAATTTTTTGTTCCTTAACTTAAAAATTCCAAACTAAAAAAAATATTTAGATAAATTTAATAAGTTAATTCGCGAAAGGATTAAAAAAAGTATATTTTTCATAATTAAAAGATTAAAAAAGTATATAAAAAAGTTGAAGGTTAAAAGCTATGTAAAACTCTAAAGTTGAGGGAAATTTCTATTTAACCTAATATGTGTAAAAGAAATTAAAGTATGGAAAAGAGACAAAAGAAA